TATAACAAACTTTTTACACAAGGAATTTTTATTACAGTAAAATGTTCCATTAAAATAACTTCTAAGCAAGAGTACACACAAAAACCTTTTAAAGAAAATACAGAAAAAAACGTGTTTAAAGAAAGTCAAATCCTTCATAAGAACCACAGCAAAATATACATTTTGCAAGTTGCAATTAAATTAATAATATACAAATATCCATCACTTTACAAATAAATTACATTCCAAAATTAGGTGCACTTAAATCTGTTGTTTCACCACTTGTCTATAAAAAAGTACTTACAATGATTCAATCATCTCACACTCTTCAGCTCTCTATTTTTAGATCTCTTGTCTTACAATACTTTTTGATTGTTACCAACTTCCTACTGTTTACAAGTTGAGATTGTACCAAAGGAGCCATTCCCAAGAATTTTGGTTTCAGTGCACGACACTTCCTGTGGTATATCAAGTTCTTAGCCTGGTGTTACCAAAACTGCAGTCACCTTTCCTCTACATCTTTACCTTCCATGGCTAACTGCAGTATTGGATGAAAGCAGCATGTTTGAGGATCCTGCCCACACAATACCTTCCTTTACAGCTCCAGAGTTAACTGTAATCAGGCTAAAAGATCCCTAAAGTTTTCTTTGGTACTTTAGATTAATCCTCCATAAAACATATGTATCCTTCCCTAACAGTTCGATTGAGACTTGAAAGCTTAAGAACACTAGAATTATGGTATTTTCAGATAAACTGATTTCTTTGCCAGCATCAGATAGGTCTATTTAATAACGGGAATATCGAACAGGAAATTTACAAAATAATCTGAAGTTGAAAAATCGAATGAGTTTTAAGTTGTTTGAGAAATAAGTAAACTTCATACGTTTGATGGAAGGAGGAAACAACCTTTATTGCAAACAAAACAAAAAACAGTGTTCTTATTTATGTAGACACTTAAACGACCACCTCTACTTGATCATTGGATAGATCACTAGCTTTATGTCGCTCAAAATTAAATTCTAACAATAAAAATACTAAGTATAACTGACGAAGAACTTTGGTTCTCATATCGAAAGAAACCATGTATTTTTTTTATAGCATTATCATGTGAATTGTCATTCTCCCAAAGCATTCATTGGCTGTAACATCATTCACTTGGCCATTGAAGGATATTACAGTCTGCTGTTATGTTAAACTTATATTAAATTTTTCTTCATTAACCATTCAAGCCGTCTCCAACCATTATTAGTTTCAAAGTTGGTTCCTCGTCATCGAAAATATTATAGTCATTGACCATTTTCACATAGATGTGCGACATTACTGCAATATCACCTTGGGCAAAGTAGATATTATCTGCTATAGCAAACAAAAAATGGTATTTATAAAGAAACAATTTCAATAATTTGTTGGAATATATCTTTATGCCAAAACCACATAGAAACAGACTAAATGATTTTTTTAAAAAATTCCTCTATTACTAAAAATGGTGAAAAATATATGATAAGCCCGCATATCACAGAATGTGACCCTGACTAATTAAAAAACAAAGCAGCCAAATGTTCAAGAGTTTTATCAGAAACAACAAAAATCCAGATTGAATATTAAGATCAGGCACATTCTATTTGGTTAAAAGGTCAGTCTGATTACAGCCATGAACCCCTTTTAAAAATTACTTTTAGAGACAAGTGATATCTCTACGGAATTTCCAATGTGCTCATGCTCTAATCACCCATAGAGCATGTATCCCTGGTACCATGAACTTTACATTCCCTAGACCACATAGGGTATACTAATACTTTTCTTTAGCCACACTGCCCTCTGTTGTCATTCCCGTTAAATGGCCAACATACTTACATTTTGACCCAGATCTATTATCTCCAATATTGTTTGGTTGTTACATAATCAATATCCAGTTCCAATAGGAAAGGAATCGGATGAAAACGAAAAATTAGATCCTACACACATGAGCTGACTCAAGTTAGGTAATCTTAACCCTTACGTTTGACAGTTAGTGTCCACTAACACTTTCACTGTCTATTCTTAATAATATTCTCTGAATTAAAAGTTTATTACTAGCTATGGCGTGGTTTACACCTTCAAAGAGGTGATGGTAAAGAGGGCTTGCTGAGGCTGAAGGTACAACAAATTATGTCATAACCTCTCCTGTAGTCCCCTACCCAACAAACAATGCTAACTGTTAAAGCTAGTTTGTGTGCACGTGTCCACAAGATATTTTGTTTAGCCCATCTAAGCCCCCTCACTAGTAACAGGCTGATACCAGCCTTGAACTTTCGTTACGTGGGTGTTACCTTCTAGCTCGCCTTAGTACATTCACATCCTAATTTTCATGTGTCTCATATTGCACCTTGTACTGAAACAATGTTAAGAATAAAAAGGCCAACATTTACGGGCAAATGCAACATGTTTCCGTCACACAATCCCAACATGGCAAATTTTGACACCAGGAAAATGATACAGAAAAATTGAAAACTGTCTATATCACTGCTTGGTACCTGTAAGAAGGTATCTTTGTACCACATCCCATATAAGTTGGTTGACATACATATGAATAGTGTGGCCCGGCATGGCCAGGTGGATAAGGCGCTCGACTCGCAATCTGAGGGTCGCGGGTTCGAATCCCCGTCCCACCAAACATGCTCGCCCTTTCAGCCGTGGGGGCGTTATAATGTGACGGTCAATCCCACTATTCGTTGGTAAAAGAGTATCCCAAGAGTTGGCGGTGGGTGGTGATGACTAGTTGCCTTCCCTCTAGTCTTACACTGCTAAATTAGGGACGGCTAGCGCAGATAGCCCTCGTGTAGCTTTGCGCGAAATTCAAAAACAAACAAACATATGAATAGTTGAAGAAAACCTCAAATTGTGCTTTCCTTGCTGAAAATTTGTTTGTTTATTTGTAGTTAAGCATAAAGCTACACAAAGAACCTTACTAAGAGCAGAATAAATCACAAACTTAGCTATACGCGAACACAAGCGTAACAACCCGAGATGCGAACTCAAATGAGGTAAAATTCCAACCAAAGCCACCTGTTCTTTTTCATGGTCCATTAAGCTACGGCCTAAAACTATCTTCAACAAACTAAAAACTAGATTACACATATCCTGTACCTGATGATGACAAAACCTTGTCGAAACGTTGTACATTTGCTGTTATGTTAAACTTATATTAAAGTTTTTCTTCATTACCCATTCAAGCCGTCTCCAGCCATTATTAGTCTTAAAGTGGGTTCCTCGTCATCGAACCAGAACACAGGCTTCTCTGGAGTACCATGATGGTAGCCAGCAATAAGGTACAATGGACGTCAAAGAGTGCTTGGTCCTTTCTAGTAGTGACTGTTAAAAAGGAAGGAGGTAAATCCAGACTTTGCATAACTAAAAGACTGGAAGGAACTAAGGTATTACTCACCCTTGCGCAAATATTTGATGACAGTTCTGGTTGCATTTGGGTTGAGATATTCAGTTCTAGTGTCAGTACTGTATGTTGTGTTCCACCCACATTAAAAGTCAACCTAAACAGAGTAAATTCCAACAGGTAATTATTGTTTCTTCTTTACATAGACTTTACTTTGATATCATTTGTCTGCACCCAGAGGTGGAAGGTTATCAGGATGTATTCACAGCTATCGATTACTTCACAAAGCGGGCTGAAGCTTATCTACTGATTGACAAATAAACACAATTCATAGCTGCTATGTTGGCAGAGCACTGGATGGCCCAGTCTGAAGTACCAGAAGAGATTAATAAATATCAAGGAGCTAATTCTAACAGTCAAATGTCCTTTAAGTTGCACAGTGTGTTGGATATGGAAGAGATGTACACTTCTGGTTTAGTTGAATGAGTAATACAGCCTGTTAAGTATATGTCCATCAATTTTATTAATCATATATGAACGAACTTGAATAAAAATGTGCCATGGTGTACAAAGCAACTAAGCAGGTATCAACAGGTTGTTTTCCAAGCACGCTCATGTTTGGATGGGAAGTCCTGCCTCCCATAGAGGTAATGTATGGCACTCCATATGGAGAAGATATCCACAATGTTTGCAAGAATATCTACAGTGGTTAAGGTCTGTATTAGTTGATATATACAAACATGCATGCCAAGAACTAGGAAGTCCCCCATATGGCAGAAATAATCTTATTATAAAACAGTAACTTAAAGAATAAAAAAGAAGTATTGCTTTGGTATGTACCAATGACTTGGAAGCAGCTCAGTTCTTGTTGGATAAGTAAGTTGATCCATTAACGCAAAAGTTATAGCAATTAAAAGTCTTCCCCACCATTTCAAGTACTCCTGGAACCAACCTAACTTATAATGCGGTAGAGCCCACAGATGAAACTGAATTGCTGTTCAATGCATTGCACATTTATGATCTTGTTGACTCATTAGTTCAACTGACACTGAAGTCTTCCAGGACTGGATAGTTCCAGTTGGAAGTGAGTTCACCCACATAATCCCAGGTACTGTTGGCCAGAATTTCACAAGAGACCACAGGGAAACTGATGCAAAAAACAACAACAAAAAACACTTCTTTGGTGGTCAAGCAGAGCCTACAAATGGCTCAGCCACTGCCATCAACTGCAGCACTGCCTGTGAAGAATGAATCCAGACAGAGTCTCAGCATCAGGAACTTTTCCCGAGGTGTCCCATAGGAGGGGAATGGATTGCAATAAGATGAAAGCATCAAGTATTCAGAGTTGAGGTTGCCTCAAGAATTCGCTGAATGTTTTGAAGACAGGAACGAGGCATCCATCAATGCTCGACTGGCTCTGACTACAATGGTCCCACCACTGCTGATAGAAGAACCAATGACACCAGGATAGGGCAGAATTTCAAGACGTGCCACAAACTACACCACAATCATTTCAGGAGTAGGTTTATCTGGTGCAGACAAAAAAATAACCTTGGCCAAAACCCAAGAGACCATCAGGGTTGCCATTAGAGTCAATTGCTATATCTGAGGGAAATGAATATCACGCCTCATAGCTGCGCTGGGTAAGTTCAATACATTTTGTGTATAGTTGTATTTTTATTGATTTAAATGGTTATACATATAATAGGTATCTCTGTGTTTTGTTGTTATTTGTATTTATATTATTTAATAATTTCATGCGTAAATAGTCATTTTGTGAATATTTTATTATGAACTACAATGCACTTTCATTTTGGGGTTTATATTTTAAACATAATGAATATGAATGGTTTTTGTGTACGTCATCATTGTTAAAAGGCCTTTCTATATGAATTGCATTTCTTTGTTAAAAATTTTTCACGTTCGTATTTTTAAATGTTATACTCTATTGTAGTTGTTGTAAGAGAGTTATTTTGTGCAACTATGAAGAGTTTATTCTGTTGCAGGGAGTGTGATTTTAAACTTTTTATTTTGTATGGTGGTTTATTTTGTAATTTGTATTTTGTATTATGTTAAATTGTAGTTGTAATTATAGTGTATATGTTTGAGGGTTTGTGCTTGTCATTTTCTGCATTCTGTAAAGGATTGTATTGAACATGATTGTAAGTTTTATTTTTTATATTTCTCCTTTTTCTTTTTTGCTATATTATTATTTTGGTGTGTTTATGGTATTTACAACGTTATGTGTGAAATTTATCCTGTTATATTTGGTATTATATTAAACTGTTTATTAAATTATGTTTTTCCAAGTGTATATTTTCGAATGTGTAACCTTGTATATCACTGTGAAAGAATTTGCTACTGTATTGTACATTGAGATTTTGATTCTGCATTTTCTATTGATGTTTAATTATAGTTTCAATTACAGCATCTTTGCTAAAGTTTATTTGGTGTAATATTACTTTTACTTGCAATATTAAAGGTTTTGTAGCGTGAAGTGAAATTTAAATGTAAATTCTTTCTTAAATGATATTTATTTTGTTTGTAATTAAACACAAAGCTACACAATGGGCTATCTGTGCTCTACCCACCACGGGTATCGAAACCCGGATTCTAGCGTTGTAAGTCCTCAGACATACCGCTGTGCCACTGAGGCGCATATTTATTTTGTATTAGTGTGTACTTGCATATATGTTAAAGGGTTTTTCTTTATTAATTGTGTTTTCTTTTTTGTTAAACGGTTTTTTCTTTGTGAATTATGTTTTGTTTTGTTTTTTGTTAAAAGGTTTTGTAATCTGTGTTGCGCGCAAGAGAAAGTTAGATTACTCTTTAATCAATGTTCATGAATGTATTTAACGATTTTAAAGTTAAACTTAATTGTTGGCTTGAGGAAAAGCTTGTAGTAAGGAAGGGATAAAATATTTGGTATATAAATATATATCAGGCATTTTCTGCCTTCTTATTTTGGCATAGCATCATTCCAAATTTATCAGTTATTCTCTGTGTATAGTTTTCACATAATACATGGTCAAGAAAGTAATCAAATTTATTTTGCTTTAGGTGCTTTTCTTCCTTTGTAATCCTCTGGAGATAATTCCTATTCTGCTCACGGGTAGCAGGGCTGTAATATTGCATGTTGTGCAAGAATTCAAAAAACAGTATCCCTCAGTGACAGGTCACTTGTTATCTCGAGGTTTCAACCTCCCTTATGTTTGAATAAAAATGACCAGTTCTGTGAGTAATGCTAGTTGCTCGGTGTAAATGCAACATTATCTGTGAATTAAAGAACGTTAGATTTAAACAGTTTGATACAAATGATCATCAAGTGCAGTCTGGAGAAAGAACAGCTTTAATCCAGTAAATGCGACAATCCAGCATCTCAGCAAGTACATAGAATGTGTCATTATTTAATAAAGATGTTTCTCTGTGCCCAGTCTCTTTATTTAGTTCTCACGAACTCAGCTATTTGGGGAAATTCAGAATAGATATCTTTTCGAATCACCTGTTATTTAGTTGACATGAATATATCACACGTGGATAGCCTTTAAGAACCCAGTGGTCTTTTTCGTCCATAATGTTATGTTAGTACAAAGTGATGTTATGTCTTTTAATCACGAAACAGTTTATTATATCAGTTTTTCCAATCACATTTTATACGAACCTGTTCAGACATGCTTCGTAAAAGACGTGGATATTTATATCACTGATTTTCTATAATAAGTAACATCTCTTGTGTATCAAGGAAGCTATCTCGCGTTATATCTTTTTCCTTTCCAAAAGCTACGGATCTGATAACTCAAGGAAAAATGTTCTGCTTGTATTTACTAATAAAATCAACTTCACACTTCTGGCCTGTAGTTGGTACGTTGCTCAATTGTTGTTAAATAATTATTAGATTTTACATCAACTCATTTGATAAAATTCTTTAACTGGTCAATTAGCGAAGTATAAAATCATATTATCTCGATAAGCTATTTCTTTAACAACATATGTCAGTTACTTTTTTTTATTAAATTATGATTGAATTTTATTTATTTGTTTGTTTTTTAGAACAAAGCCACATTGGGCTATCTGCTGTGCCCACCGCAGATTCGAACTTACCGTTGTCCCATCAGAGGGACGAATTATAAGTGAAGACGTCACTGTTAATGCACATTTGAATATTCATTGTGTTATTTATACTTCAAAGCGTTGTAATTGAATGTATAGTTTTCCTCTGGATTTAAGGTAATATTTAGGCTTTACTTTTTTAATAGAACTATGCACCATTTTTCACGTCTTTCAATCTGTATGGGTGATTACTCTTAATTCGTCGAGTAATACTAATCTATGAGATTTGATTAATGATTTCTAAGTTTACCTTCTAGTTGTATATAAACGTAATAAATCTAGTTATTGTAATTTTTTCAAGAAAGTATAAAAAGAAACATAATACACATTTCAACCAAATAAATATGTAATATTGTTGAACACCAAACACGTACTCATCTTCTAAACTCAAAAGTAATAACAAATTTTATTCAAAATTCATTCTACTTTCCACATTTGTCCCTCGGTGGGACAGAGATAAGTCTAGGGACTTGCAACGCTAAAATCCGGTTCCCCGCGGTAGACACAGCAGATATTTCAATATGGCTTTGATCTACAACAAACAAACTCTACTGATCGTTTCGCCTTTGCAGTTTCCTCAGGGTTAATATACACAGCAGGAAGCTGAAAAGGCGAAACGTTTGTTAAAATACAAAAATTTGGAGTACAGAGGTCGTTTTCTCTAAGCTTTTTATCACAATGTGTAAATCCCTCCAGTATTCACTAAAAATTTTGAAAAATAACAAAAAACCTTAAAAACTCTACCGAATTTTACAATAATATAGAGGAGCTCGGTGTCAAAGCATGGACCTCTCGCACACCATGTGACAGTTTTAATGAGCTAAACATGAACAATTTTTCTTTTTTTCAGGTCGGAGTCGAACTCAAAACTTTTCATACACCAAGAACGTGCTCCACTAACTCAGCTAAAAAGTTTATCCTTTAGCACTACTTAGTAAGGCACTTTTTAACAGCTCAAACTAGCACAATATGCAAGTTATAATTAAAGATGTATACAAGAAAACTTTGATGTAAGATTTATTAATTTGTTAACCCGTGTCTGAACAATGGAATGGCCAAACAGTTTCATAAAAAGCTGATAATAACGTGTGTTTTTATAGATTTATAGGTCTCACTCAATCATTTTTTAACACAGAAAATTTCTGCATACAATTCTACTACACAAGTATTGGAAAAAAACTATAAAAAAAAAACAATTTTCAATAACCCAGTAACTAAATACACAATCGATACCATGAAATCTACCTGGAATTCTGTTAGCCAGCTACGAAGAGTGAGTTCCGTCATTCCTTGGGGGACGTCACTAGTCAGTCTAAAGGACTTACCAACTGTATCTGCAATAATAGCAAACATCGTTTTTAATATAACAATTTAAACTAACTTTAGGGTGCGTATTTTTTTCAGTGTGCAGGAATCTGTTTTCCATTCAGTTACAAGTTTATAAAAAGAAGCAAACAAGCAACATATCAGTATTCCATGACTTTAACTTACTATTTCATCTGAAAGGAAACTGTAAACTGAGATGATAGTCACAGATATTACTAATCTTCAACATTTTAAGAGGATCGTTAATATCTTTGCAGGAATCTGTTTTCGATTTTTTACGTTGTTGCTCTTTCATCCAAACTGTACTTCAGTCTTCTCAATCACACTGTCAAACAAAAAATTCTTTACTCACCATTACCGTTTGATGAACGTAGTACTTAAACTACGTGTATTACAATGCTTCAACCCAGTAAAAAAAAACCAATATGTACACTAGAGCATGTATCTTAACAGTTGTAGTTACCTAAACTATATATGTTTCGCATGTACAATTCTCTAACTCCACTTAAGATAATTAATATACTTATCACAAAGTTCTTGATTAGATAAGTCTTATAACCAATAAAATTATTATATTTGTTTAACCTGTGACTGTTTCTGATATCTTAATGTACCGTGCTAATGTTGTTAGCGTAAGTTTTTTTTTTTAAGTTAGACATTTGAATTGTTTTTGGTTATCAAAAGTTCTTAACGTCACACGACGAACACAGAGCTCAGTGACTAGAAGTTTCATCAGAGACTTAGCTAGACACTGGCACACGGGCCCCATGCAACGATCTTATTTGACAGTGCCCCGATATTCCCAGTTGCTGTCTTGAAAATCAGAATAGAAAAACCATGATAGATATTATACTGAAACGCCGAAAATTCCTGCGCCTATAGACCCGAACCCCGAATCGTTTAAGCACCTAGCGACGCTTCTGATTTTCTTGAAAGTTTAGGAAATTATTTCAGAAGCACAAAATCACGAATTTTGCAAAAAATTGTTAGTAGTTTCTTTATTAATTATTGAGGCAGCCAATAAGCTCAATGCTGTAAAATTTGAATTTGTGTTTCAAAGAAGCACTAGAGATACGGGAGACGTTAGCAAGTACGTAACTGTTTAACATTATTTGTAAAGTTAAGTCAATTAAGTGAGGTTCAGTGGCGGCTGGTCGGAAAATGAAAAGGAGACCATGTCTCCCCAAAGATTTTATAAAAATAAAATATTTCTTAAGTTTTAATTAATAGCTATATTTTATTTGTTTGGCGCAAAAAAAAAGTCTTGAAAACTGCAGATGTTTCTAACAAAACGCTCAAAAATCTTCTTCTCCCGTTCTAGGTGACATATCGTTCGTGGTGTGAGGCATAGAAGGGTTGTGTTTCTCAGCTTTTGTTTTATCTGTGTAATATCTCTGTACTTGTGCAACAAAAACAGCCAAGAGGATCTGAGTCTTCTTACCAGGCATAACAAGGATGCTGAGAACGACCACATAGGTAAGGGAACCACTCAGAATCTAAGTTGAAAAACAACCATTTTCAGAATTGTTTGCAACAAGAAAAGTACGCAAGCCTCACAAGGTCGCGGTAATCAACGGCTGGTACAAATTTAATGACTGTGTTTTTAAGGATAAAAGCAACGAAAAGTGAATTTCTTGAAATGGTGCAGTGACTTGGTGGAAATGTGCGACGATTTATCTTGATTTGGAGGTTATTTCAGGGTTTTATAGCTTCAATTATAAATAGGCTGGTTGTGATTACCAACGTCCTTAGGGCCGTGAAAGACTGAGGACTCGAACTTGACGATAAATAAATCGAGACACTTAAAGTAAGTGCCTCCTTTAATGTTCTATATATTGGGGGCCGCATTTAAAACATTGCCTGCCTTCTGCACAATATTAACAGCGAGCTGCCACTTGTAGAGCTTGTACAAGTGTAACATAGAAAAGTGCTATGTGCCTGCTACCCCCTCTCCCCCATACTTAAGATTTAAATTCTTTCAAAAATATTGTGTTTTTCAGAGTTCTTAGTTTGGATGCATAAATTATCGCAAGTAACAGTTTAACTTTATCTGTTTTAAAAGCATGCACGATGTGGATTCATTACTTTGCACGTATAGATAGACTATGGAACGCTGCGGGGAGGTGGGATGTGATTTTGACATGACAGTTTTAAGATTGAGTCTTTAGCAATGAAGATTATATTGCAGTGATATTATTAAGATGCATGGTAGTCAGATAGAGCATGACTGGGCGTGATAATATGGACTGTAGTGAGACTTCAAAGTAATTTTGATTTAACGTAATCATTCATGAAGTTTTAGTAAAAAAAAAGACGGTCGAATGAGCAATTTAAAATAATAATAATAAAAACTATGGGAAACAGTTTCATGTGCATGTATCTGTATCCATTTTTGATTATCATAAAAGTACAAAGGCAAAATAATATGTAATTTTAGAAAAGTGGGGAATGGGGGTATTCTTTCTCACCCTCTTGAACCATTCAACTTTGAAAAACAACCATAACTCAAACTAAGTATTTGCTTCTAAAACAACAAATTAATTTTTCTTGTATATCAAAAGCTGTTCTGAAATAGCTGGACAATAAAGATTATTGTAACCTTGATAAATTTGGATAATTAGTAACTAAAAATGACTAGACAGTATATCACATTGATCACACCCTATAGGGTGAGTTCCCGTCAGTCTGTTTGTTTGTTTGTAATTAAGAACAAAGCTACACAATGGGCTATCTGTGCTCTGCCCACCAGGGGTATCGAAACCCGGATTCTAGCGTTGTAAGTCCGCAGACATACCACTGTGCCACCGGAGGGCACCCGTCAGTCAAAAAATGTACATGTCTGTTAACCAAATACTGTAATGACACATGGTAATAACTTAAAACTTCTTCAGATTTACAGAATTCTATCCAATTAATCCCATAAATACGGCATAAATGCATAAATATAAAATTAGATTGTACTATATTACGTGCTGTCAGTATAAATTAACAATAATAGACCGATCATCAAATTAAAAACGTACTAATTGCACGGTAGACTTTTCTCGAGTTGTTCTTGAGCATAAAGTTTCAAATAAAACGTTATAATTTATTGTTCAAATTAAATGGTATATTATTGCATTGTTTTAGTCAATGGAAAAGGTTCTAACTATATGTTACGCATGCATGAGGGTGGGGGTCTCCTTTAAATACGAACAACTGCGTGCGACTGGAAGGGGGGGGGGAACGGGTAAGCCACTTAGTGTACATACGCCATTTAGCCTTTAAGCTTGTTTTTCAGCGCACTTTATGTAAGCATGAGACTTTTAGGACCAACACTTTGGTTCTCAAACCACTTGTCATCAGTCAAACCATCGGTCCTTTGTTTTGGTTCTCAAACCACTGGCCACCAGTTAAACCGTCGGTCCTTTGCTTTGGTTCTCAAACCACTGGTCACCAAATAAACCATCGGTTCTTTGTTTTGGTTCTCAAACCACTGGCCACCAGTTAAACCATCGGTCCTTTGCTTTGGTTCTCAATCAACTGGTCACCAAATAAACCATAGGTCCTTTGTTTTGGTTCTCAAACCACTGGCCACCAGTTAAACCATTGGTCCTTTGCTTTGGTTCTCAATCAACTGGTCACCAGTTAGACCATCCGTTCTTTGTTTTGGTTCTCAAACCACTGGTCACCAGTTAGACCATCGGTTCTTTGCTTTGGTTCTCAAACCTTCACTAATTATTGTCTGTTTCGATCTTGGAATTACGTATTATTTTGAATTTGAAAATTATTTCGTCTTTTTGTCGTATTGAGCGATTCAGTAACGAGAGTCGTCGTCGTTTACGTACAGAGGGATGCAGAAATTCACGACAATTTGTTTTGTACACGTAAATATGGGTGATATCAAAGTAAAGCACGAATGTCTAATTTCATTTTACATTTTCTTTTAAGTGAATTTTAAATGAAAAGTGTAAGATTACAATTAAATGCATTTACAAGTTTCTTTTTTAAACAAAGGAATATATGTTCTCAAATCATATATAATATGATTTGATATTTCATTTAAAAACTCTTTAAACTAATCTGACCAATAAGCTTGCATTTTTAAACGTGTTTACAAAATACTAATAATCTTATATTAGAGAGAGTAATACCACATGAAAATGTAAAACAAGTTCAGAAAGTTTATTTTGTGGTTAGTGTATCGGGCTGCGTATCCAAAAGTCCAAGGTTCTAGCTGTGATACCACTGTAAACGCTCCACATTTTCAGCTGGAGTCAAGTTATAACAGTGACAGGCAATCCCGTTTTGCTAACTGCCTGTCTTTCCTCTAGCCAGTAGCTTAAAATTAGGGACAGCTATATCTGAAGTCTATAGGGGTCTCAGGTAAAAACAAAAATACTAAATAAATCTTGAAGACGAAGGGTCTAAAAACTTAGTAATTTTGACAAGCTTCTTTAATAAAATGTCGGTTTGATGAGCATATTTTACTTGTTGATTTTTTCGATTAAATACAAAGCTACACGATGGGCTAGCCTTGATTTGCCCCAAAGTTTAGCTTCAAAAAAGCATTCAGTACTATCTCAGTTCGTTTCAGAATTTCCGCACAAATCCACGGAGAAGTCTATCTGTATATATCCGTCCCTGGTTGTGAACTGATAAACTAGAGGAAAGGCAGCGAGTCGACAGCACCATGATCAACTCTTGTTTGATCAAAAAGAAGGTTTGAACGGTGCCTCTTACAGAGCACTCTTGGCTCTAATGTGCGGACTGCGATTTTGTGGACGATGGATCGCAAACCACAAACCTTCGAATTTATAATCCAAGCACGATTACATCTAGTCTAGTCCCGCCCTTGGTAGATTTAATTGGTAAAATGAAAAAGCTTCGCTTATAACTCAGAGATAAGCTTGAAAGCTTATAACGTTAAAGTTCGGGGTTCGATCTCCTCGGTTGGCACAGCATATATATCCTATTAATTGTTTTGTGTTTAACAACAGGTAATATGAGTAAGTTTCTTAATCTTCAGCGTGTTTCTAAAAATAATAAAATGAATGATAGATAAGTCTCTAAGACAAAATATAATATAAAACTATACAGTTTTTAAACTAGGTAATAAAGTTTAGATGGAAGCACAGTCTTAAGTTTGCAGTGATAATATTCTATTATAGCACAGTAACAGCGATAAGGTGTGCGAAAAGTTTTCAAAAAATTAAAATACAAGTAATAAATAAATCTACAGCATTCGAGAAGCTGAGACTTAACAGATAGTTTGGGGACAAA